ATATTATTTATTAATAACAATAAATAATAATAATAGTTAGATAAATAATATTATTAATAACAATAAATAATAATAGTAGACGGGAACAAACAGCTTTACCTGTATCAGACACACGCCGGTAGGTTCTCCATGCTACATACGGCTATTCCTAATCACTGATAGATAAATACTTTTCTTTTTCAGATGTCAAATCTGTCAAGCCTTCGTCTGGAAGCTTAGCAGGTGGCACGATGTTAACTATCACAGGAGAGGGATTCGGTACAAAGATGGATAAAGTTCAGGTTAAAATCGGAGGTGATTAACACATTTTTTCATAAGGATAATGATTTTTATATATATATATATATATATTATACTGATCTTTAATGAATCTGAATATCAGTGTAATGTTCTCATGATATACGTGATCTTGCATCAGTTGTGTACGTCCTATATCCATGCGGTACAGGCAGATATGGAATCAATACTAAGTATTAATAGACGTTTTTATCCTTTCAAATTAGGAGCAAATTGCAACATCCAGGAAGTGACATATAGCCAGATCAAGTGTATCACTGATCCACACAACCAAACGAAAGTCTTGTATCCTGGTAAGAAACATATCTTGTTGTTTTCTGCCATAAGTACACCCTCTGTTAAGTTGTTTATATTTTACTGATCTATCTTTCTCGCAGGTAATCGAGGGCTTCTACGTGAAATCTGGACCCAGTCTCCCAAATCCAATTTACAAGACATCGAAAGCCTTTTATCATCGGCCCCTGATTATCACTCAGAAGTCTTGAGTCAAAGCCAAAGCCCTGATGTGACGTCATTTAACAAAACTGGCGGTTACAGTTCAAAGGTCAGCGGTTTCTTCGTGGCTCCATGGGAAGATTACTATATATTTTATATCAAATCAGACGACAAGAGTAAACTATTCTTAAGTACTTCTGGAAGACCTGAAGATAAGGTAAGTAACTTTTACAAGTGAAGATGATTTAAATTTTTCGTTAAACCATGCACAATGCACTTTTATTCTTCAGGTGGAAGTTGCAAACTGCCCGTCGGCTACTACAAGGTGGGACAAATTCTCGTCACAGAAATCAGTGAGGATTTCGTTAGCAAAAGGACAAGTGGTGTACTTACACGCTCTTCATACAGACTTTGCACTTGGTCACTCGATCAGTATTGGTACGAGTATGGAAAACGTACCTCACGCAAACTTTAAGGCAGGAAGAGCTGTGGACGAGAAACAGACCAGTGTTACAACATCGGTAGTTCTCTGCGAGAAACAGGTTAGACTCCATTTTATTATAATAACATCAATTACTCAGTCAATGAAAATAACAATGAATATTTGTGTTTTTCAGATTATTGACATGAATAAGTGGAACACTAGTGAAACCATCAATGAGATACAAGAAGTAACAGTTCCCTCGTGCAACGAACAAGGCAATCATTCACACTGCAACAACAACACGTTCAAGCTTATCTACATGGGGATGCCAACCATCTCTCTTTCCCAAGTTACTACCGAGGCTGGAGATCTTGAAGAAGCCTTGAATACTTTATCAAGCATCCGTACAAATGGCCACGTGAACGTGTCATCGTCTGTGCGCAAAAATGAAACTGTATTCACAATCGAGTTCACGTTCTCAGACCCAAACAATGTTCAACTATTGTCGTCAAGTGTCAGTCAAGGAAATAGCACAAGCTTCAATATCAGCACAAAGCGTGTCCGCACTGGAGGCACAGCGAAAGGTGGCTTTAAGTTAAGCTACGGTGGAGCCATAAGCAAACCTATAATGCCTAGTCAAATAACTGAAAGCAGCCTAAAGGAAACACTTGAGGACATGTTTTCCACGAAATGTACACAATCACCTTCATCCAGTAAGAGACTTACTGTGCATTACACGTTCTTGATCGGCACTGATCAGTACTAGCTAGTCGACTTCCACGTCATCTGATCAAGTATTTTTATTTCTTCCTAATTAGGATCAGCATATTTTTACCGTGGTTTTGAAAATCAAATCATTGGAAAAGAATATGGCGAACGAGTTACAGATCAGATGCCTTTTTGTGGGAGAACATCTCTAAAGAACCCACGGTTCCTGTGGCGTACGGGGTACACAGAGATCAGAAAAGGGATTCCAGCCATAGCGTACGACGTGGCACGATATCAACATGTATGTTAGCTATATCATCAGAAAATATTCTACGATTTAAGAAATTCTAATTACACTTCTTCATCTTTTTTTAGGTTTGCTTTGCGTACCGAGGAGCGATTCGTGAATACATTAGTGTATCGTTTACATACCAATTATCAACTGGAGGCGCAGAAACCCGTGTAAGATGGTATCCATATTCAAGAATGAGTATATCAAGAGCATGGCGTCATGTGTGTGTTAACCTCTACGATAAAATTACTAGCGATACTTTCATAAAAGGGAGAGCCTCTTCCAGCACCAAATATAAGATAGAAACTATACAAGTAATGAAAGATGTTGACGCTACTGACGATTTTTTTATTGACGAATTCTGGATCGGAAAAGTCCCAGCAACCGGTAGGTGTGCATGTATGCTTAGCTGTAATCATTAATCACAAATGATGTATAACAGCATGAATCCCTTTTTTTAGTGACACCAAGTAAATTACCCGCCATGCCAAGTGGGTACCTAATTAAAACAGTTTCGGTAGAACAACTAGAACCAGGACGATTTTCTGTGTGTATGTTACCAGCCGGATGTGGTTTTGACCTTCCATTGATAGCTGTAGACACTGCCATACTGTCCAATAGCAGCAACGATCTAAATAATGTTACGTACAAATTCCCTGGTATGAAGTCAAGTATTCATTTTGAACGGGTTCAAAATGCCACGCCCCCGATCACCGGCACTTTTGACGTGACGTATCAAGGCAAGACAGTAAAAGGTAATCCGACGTTAATCAAAGATATGTTCTAATTAATATTGAAATAATTAACGATTACTATTCTGCTTTGATAGACATTCAAGCAAATGTGACGGATTCGCAGTTAAAAAGAGTTCTGGAAGAGCGACTTGATGTCGGTGAACTTCTTGTACAGCGGTCTGGTTCTTGTTCATCCTTCACGTGGACTATCACGTGGGTTGATCAAGGAGGTAACCACCCACAGCTAATGGTTAACAGCAGTCTTATAGGTAACCAGGCTTCGGTCAGCAGTAATACCATTGCCGACGGACGGTTCTTTCTTAGACCTATTCCAGGAGAGTTCTTAAGAACATCAAACACCGTTCCACAAGTAAGAGTTACGCAATTATCCCTATTGAACTTCACTCTTATTTTACTTTTACAACGAAAATGGTAACAAATTAAAAAAGGGAGTCAAACCAGTTTACTGGATAATACTTCCCTTGACAAATGGCTGCTTAGTGCAAGGAAAGCTTAATTCCAGTAAGCTAGTTTTTATCATTAGATAAAATGATACATTGTTCTGTCAATAGGTGGTGGTCAGCGTCAATGGCATTACCAGTTCCTGTTTTCTTGATACATGCTCCTTTAACTACACCGTCAACCAGACACCACAAGTTCATTCTTTGTCACCAAATGCTGGTACGGCTGGTACCCAGATCACTTTAAGTGGATTAGGGTTTTCTACAATACCTTCAGAGAATCACGTGACTATTGATGGTGTTTCGTTAAACGTCACCGCTAGTACCGCCACAACCCTGACCTGTTCAGTAGGTAAGCATTATCATTACGACAGTGTTGAAATCTTAAACGTTATCTTTACAAACTTGGTGCTTTTATGACGTCATAGGTAATTCTCCAGGCGGTGAACACCCTGTTCATGTTCATGTGACGGGCAAGGGAAATGCAGTTCACAGTTCCAGTAGCCAACAAAGCCAGGTAAGCAAAATCTAATTAAAATGCGTACGTTTTTTTACTTTACACTCACGTATGTCTTTTGCACAGGGTTCGAGTACAGAATTTAACTACACTATTGCAATCAACAACGTTACTCCTAATAGAGGTAGCACGGCTGGAGGACTGGTTATTACCATCCAGGGGTCTGGGTTTAGTAATGACAAAACAGCAATAACAGTAACACTCGATGGATCGAGTTGTGACGTCATAGAATCAAGTTTGTCTAAGATACTGTGTCGAGCACCCGCTCATGCTGCCGGCCAAGTACAGATGAAAGTAACCGTGTCAGGATCAAGTGCAGAGAAAACAAATTCATTCATTTATGATGATGCATTTACACCAAATGTTACCTCACTGAGTCCACAAAAGGGACAAGTCAGCGGTGGTAATGTCATGACTATCGTAGGTTCTGGTTTTGGCACAAGTTCAGACTTGACTGTTAAAATTGGAGAAGGCTTGTGCAAGGTGATAGATGTAAGGGATAACCAGGTTCAGTGCACACTACCTCCACATCATCCAGCGGTAACTAATATTACAATGTTTATACCAGGAAAAGGTTACCCCACCTTACCCACGTCATACAAGCTCTATGAATATGTCCTAAGAGTCGATAGCATCTCACCTTTGATTGGTTCAATAGCTGGAGGTACTACAATGACGATAACTGGAGGTGGATTTAGTGATAATAACGCTGAGAATAAAGTCACAATTGGAAACAAGGAATGCAGGGTGACATCTAGTACCGCAAGTTCTGTGACGTGCATCACGCCAGACAATTTTGAAACAATAACAATAAACAACCTTGGTACACATCCCGGTAAGACACGTGACATCACTTTGATAAAAGTAATTATTCTTACATTTTTCATTTTTATATGATGAAATTATAAAATTCATCATATCTTAGAAGGATTCTGAACTGAATCTAGACATATTGAACGTAACAGTATGCAGGCCGTATGTCATAATCCACCCAGTAAATGCCCACTCATCATGAGATTTTCCTGTAGTTCAGTGGTTAGAGCATCCGACCTGTATCCATATAAATCTCATTTTTCATGTTACGTATCTTTTCACGTAGAATATGGTAAAGGCTATGCGTGGTCAATGAAGCTCGTTGAAATAAACTTGGGAGACACTGTAAAGGTGCGTGTACAATTGTCATAGAATTTTATTCATATTTTATGTCCATCAATGCCTGGCAGATTTCTCTTTAGTGATTGTCTGATGATGTGTAATTTCCTTTACAGTGGGAATGGAGTGCACCTGCATTATCTAACGTACAGTATCAGGTGTTCCAGACATCCCAAGACTCAAGACAATATAATGGCATAGGATTCAAGAGCAGCAGAAGTAGCCAAGGATCGTATGAATACCAGTTTTTACGCGCTGGTACATACTACTATTCTAGTGGACCAGTAAATGACGAGGGTAACGTAATATTGGATGGTAAAGTGATAGTACGAGCACTATCTTCACAAGAATCTCACTTACGAGTATCAATAGCAGGTATGTAGTAGCATCCTCCCAACAACAATAATTTAATAGTGAGAAGAAAATTGTATATAACCTTAAGTATTTTTTACTCTCTCAGGCTTTTCAGCTGATTGCCATGCCACGTCACAAGCGGCTACATCTTCATCATCATGTGATACTGGCATCACAACAACGATCCCTGGATGCCAACCAACACTAATCAAGCCACCAAACTCAGTTCCTAGCCACTGTTTAAGTTTCACTTACAAGAACTGTTACACTCCCATTGTAACAGAAGTCACTCCTAATACTGGAACTAGTCAACAAGTTATAACCATAAAAGGAAGCGGATTCAGTGTCACGCAATGTCAGAACATTGTAACATTTGGGAAACATGATTGTAATGTAATTTCCAGTAATGAATCAACCATAACATGTCGCATCGATCTGAGTACAAAACCAAAAGCTGGAGAAAAATATGACGTATCAGTAACCGTGAAAAACCGTGGTGCAGCTCTTGTTCAGCCCACTGAAGAAGTAAAGACTCATTTTGTTCTTGTAGCTCGTGTGGGGAGTATTACACCAAATTCCGGGTCTCAAGGAGGAGGGACTACAATAACTGTGACGGGTGATGGCTTTTCTGAATCCCTGAATGAAAATATTCTCTTACTTGGTCAGGCTAACTGCAGAGTAAAGGATGCTAATTATATTAGCCTCACATGTACTATTGACCCGCAACCCGCAAATGCTTTGGAAAACCAGCCCTTAACCGTTGCTGTAGGAGGGACAAAAAGCAACTGTACAAGTGCTCAATGTCAATTCTCATTTCTGGATTCCAAGACACCAAGAGTGGAGGACATGCAATCTACACAAGTGACAGGCCCTGATCATATACTAAGACTATATGGTAGTGGCTTTGGAACTACTAAAGCAAATCTGGTAGTGACTGTAAGAAGTGCAGCGTCATGCGAAGTTACAGAAATACTTGACGACAGCATTAAATGTCGCATTCCTCACGCTCCAGCAGGACAACATGATATTCAAGTACTGCACAATAATCATGGACTAGCGATCTTTAAAGAAGGATTAAATAAAACCATCACAGTTGCAGCAAGTATCTCTGGATTAAACCCACTCGAAAGTAGTACAGTAGGTGGACTTAGAGTTCAAATCAATGGTTTTGGCTTCAAATCAACGAATGAAACATTTGTGACCATCAATAACAAACCAGCAACTGTCTTGAGTGTTACTGTTACTCAGATACTAATTGTAACACCACCAAATCAACCAGGAAATGCACAAGTATCCATAAGATCTGGAGACGTAGTTTTCCCTGTAACCCAAATTAGCTACTCTGACGCTGCAACGCCTGAAATTGTATCCATTAATCCAACAACTGTTAGGGCAGGGCAGTTAGTCACACTACAAGGCAGTTTTCCTTCTGGTACGATATCTTCATGTAAAGTGATGATTGGAGATACTTTATGCACAGCAACTGAAGCATCAGTAAGTCAGATAAAATGTACTGCTCCTTCTATACCAGCAATGTCACACCTTGTCTCTCTCGTCATCGACAGCAAAGGAAAAGCCAAGTCTTCTGTAAAACTCACCATCGACCTGGTATTGACGTCTATTTTTCCTCCAGAAAGTGGTCATGGTGGAGGACGTATGGTGGTTGTTGAAGGCAGCGGGTTTAGCAATTCAACTACTATCAAAATATGTGGTAATATTTGCGACCACTCACAAGACACTGCTATTAACAACACTAACATCAAGTGCGAAGTTCCTCCTAGTAACAAGGAATTACGCGGGACTGATCACGCATGCGCAGTAGAAGTGTCAGAAGGAGGTATCACGAGAAGTTTAAGTAACGGATTCACATATCGTGAGTCTATGACATCAGAAGTGACATCGGTGAGCCCTGAACGCGGTGGTACCGGCGGTGGCGTGACTCTAACCATCAAAGGCAGAGGATTCAGTTCTACACAAAGTGACAACATCGTCACCATTGACGGTACACCTTGCAGTGTAACATATGCAAATGTGAGCGAAATACAGTGTATTACTGGCGCGCATAACTCAACAATCAAGACCAAAGTAAGAGTAGACGTGGGAAATAACGGCAAAGTAATATATGATAATGCTGATTTTTACTACGTGGATGTGTGGTCTTCCAGGTTTACTTGGGGAGGAAATCCTCCACCAAAAGAAGGTGATTTCGTGGTTATCAAGAAAGGCCAAATAGTTATGCTGGACATTGATACACCTGTTTTGAAGATGTTACTGATACAAGGGGGTAAACTAATGTTCGATGACACTACAGACATTCACCTTCAGTCCAATCACATCATGATAACAGATGGAGGGGTATTTCAAGTAGGAACAGAACAAAATCCTTTCTTACATAGAGCTACTATAACGATGTATGGCCACGTCCGTTCAAAAGAAATTCCTGTTTTTGGCACTAAAAATATTGGCCTTCGAGAAGGTACACTTGATCTTCATGGTAAGCATGTACCAATCACGTGGACAAAACTTTCGTCAACCGCCCCAAAAGGAGCCAATCAAATTCATTTAACGCACGAGAACACTTGGGAAGTTGGCGACGAAATAGTGATTGCTGCGACGAGTAGATCTCAGCGTGAGAATGAAGTGGTTAAAATCACTAAAGTATTGAACGGTGGTAAAACGTTAGAGATTGATCCACCACTCGAGTATCAACACATTTCGATTCAACAAACCATAGCCAATCGAAACATCGAAACACGAGCAGAAGTGGGACTACTAACGAGAAATGTGGTTGTCCAAGGCTCTAAACATGATGAATGGACAGAAAAAATAGAGGCTTGCCCAAATGACTTTAAACCAGGACAATTCCAAACACAGTCATGCTTCCAAGGAAAATTTGGTGATGCGGTTGGTAGTGATCAATTTGGAGTACAAATTATGATTCATGCACCGGAGAAGGATAAGAACATGGTGATTGCTCGATTTAGTCACACGGAAATACGTCACGCTGGACAAGCTTTTAGAATGGGTCGTTATCCAATCCACTTTCACATTAGTGGTAATGTTAATGGATCATACGTAAAGGGGTGTGCTATACACCACAGCTTTAACCGTGCAATAACCATGCATGGTGTTCATAACCTCATTGTTGAACGAAACGTTGTGTATGACATCATGGGTAATGCGGTTTTCATGGAGGATGGAATAGAGACGGGAAATGTTGTGCAATATAACCTTGGCATATTCGTAAAGGCCTCTAGCTCGTCACTCAATGTAGACATCACTCCTGCCACTTTCTGGGTCACTAATGCTAATAACATCATTTCACACAACGCCGCAGCCGGAGGAAGCCATTTTGGATTCTGGTACCAAATGTTCAAACACCCAGACGGGCCATCGTTTACACCAGACGTTTGTCCAAGGAACGTACCAATGAAAGAATTTCAGAACAATACAGCTCACTCATTTGGACGATATGGATTATGGGTATTTCCTGTCTATCATCCCATGGAGGGGGGTGGCTGCAATGCAAAGTTAGCTCGCCCTGCTGATTTTAATACTTTGACGTGCTGGAACAACATGAGAGGAGCAGAAGTGGTTGATGGAGGCGCAGTTAGGATTAACAACAGTACTATGCTTGACAACGAGGTAGCTGGAATAGAAATTGTGATGGCTGAAACACACGACAGTCCATGGGGCGGTGCCATGATCAAAGACACTCTTATCATAAGTCATAGTCAATTAAATCCGTCTCCAAATATTCTACACACGGAATCTGGTGTGCGAACCCCTCAAACTCACGGTCTTACCATTTCTGGTGTTACGTTTGCAAACTTTGATCAACCAAATTGTTTAAGTGCAGCAATACAATGCTGTGCTCAGTGTGCACATTTTAAAAAAAGAGGTGGCTACGAGACACGGTTTGAAAAGGTTAATTTCATAAACAGCCCTTGCAGGACTCGTTTCCAATGGCCACATGAAACAGTTCTTCGGGATCTTGATGGCAGTCTGACGGGTCACAGGGCTGGAGGATTTTTGGTGCCAACCAATGGAAATTTACCACCAGATAACTGTAAGATCTCTGCTAAGGACAGCCATGGAACTGTGACAGGAAGTGCTTGCGATAACACAATGGATTTCAGACGATTTGCCATGAATAACGCTCTCCCTTCATCTTTACAAGGCAAAGATATTGAGCTGGAGAATAAATATGGTACCGATAAAATTCCGTTCAATTTCAAAGATCGCACTCATCCTAACGGATGGGTAGGTACTGTCCTTGTTGGGATTGATTATAACCTTACCTTTATCGATGCCTCTCAGATAACCAACATATCGTACACTGCGAGTGTCTTCGAGCCTCATCCTTCGGATCGGATTATCATCCACCATAAGCTGAGACAAACCCCAGATCATTTCAGTACAACTGACAGATACCAGAATATGACAAGAACGTTACCAACAGCTAGTGATCCGCACGGAGCCTGGGCCTTCAACAATGACACCAAGATATTTACATATCAATTTTCTGGTCTTGGAAATACTCCTACTATAAATAAGAACTTCCCCTCCAGGAACGTGAATCTACGAATATACCGATGCTTTTACTTAGATTGCATAGTACCAACTCCACCACCTCCCCCCAAGGGAAGGCCACTTGAATACCAAAAATGGTCTGATCCAGATGCCTGGGTAGACACTGAGCCACAATATGGTGGATATGGCGGCGTGTTACCTAGAGTTGGAGAAGATGTCATGATAACGTCAAAAATGTGGATGGTGGTTGACATTCAACCAGCCTCTCTAAATAAACTGTACGTAGAAGGAGCTTTAGAAATCGACGGACCAGATGGAATGGTACTCAATGCAACTTACATCTTGGTAACTGGTAGTATTGTAGTTGGCTGGCCCGACAAACCTTATCCAAGAAACATTATGTTAAGTTTACGGGGTAGTTGGAGTTCAGAGGATAACCCTTTGAGCAATGCGCCTAACACTGGTACAAAATCATTATCTGTTTTTGGGAATATGTACTTTCATGGTCAACCAAGAGAGGTTTACTGGACTAAACTTAACAGTACAGTTCTCCCAGGATCCAACGTGATCACCGTCAGGAACGAAGTTGACTGGAAGACTGGAGATGAAATTGTTATATCTTCTACTACCAAGGAACCAAGACAAGCAGAGGTCTTTAAAGTCGTTTCCGTATCGCAGGACAGAAAAACCTTGACCTTGAATGGTACCTTACAGTATAAGCACAAATCTGTCACTAATACTGCAGGTGGATGGACCTATACCCTTGCAGCAGAAGTGGGTTTGTTGACAAGAAATATCAAGATTGTCGGTGCAGATGAGCCAACAGGTTCATTGAGCCAGCAGAGTTTTGGTTGTCGAGTGTTAGTAAGTAGTACAGTGACCTCAAGTGGTGCGTTTCGTAAAGGAAATGCAAGAATAGAAAATGTCGAGTTCAAGAACTGTGGACAGGAAGGTTGGACAGACTCATATGATCCAAGGTACTATATTCATTCAATCAGCAGTGTTCTAGAAAATGCAACCTGCAAATTGTTGACAAATAATACAAATATGATTTTAGGTATGCATTAGCGTTGGTCAGCGTTGGCGATGTTGAAGGCAATTCTTCTTACATTCGGGGTAATTCTTTTCATCATGGCTTCAACACAGGCATTGGTGTGTTCGGTACGAATAATCTGCTAGTACAAGACAACGTGATATACTTCACTGTGGGATCTTGCATTAGAGACGAAGGAAAGGGAAATTCCTTGATACACAACTTAGCCGTACTTTCTGTGTCTATTGCCACCTACAAAGGACGAAAAGAGGTAATCCATAGTACATGACTCAACAGATACTCTTTCTCATGGACTCCGTTAGAATAACGGTTTGTATTGTCATTTGATGTTTCAGGTAGCCATCCACTGGCCAGGAGCCATCGAAACACAATTAGCAGTTAATCCGTATATGTGCAATAACACTGTGGCTGGTAGCGAGCGAATTGGGTTCATGCTAGACGGTGAACCATGTACAGACAGTCAGAATGGTTGGCATGGCAATGAAGTACACGGAGCATGGCATGGGATTCACCTGGCCTACTTTGAAGGACTGCCTGAATGTTCTAAGATCGCTAATTTCCTTGTCTGGGGAAACCTAGACTACGGCATATTTACACACCCGATTTCCTCTATTGTATTGTCCAATATCATGCTGATTGATAATCCCAATGGTTTACTTCCACACATCTGGCGTCCTCACGCTCTAACCCATGAAGCTGCAAACAAGTTCTTTATTTTAAGAGACTCGCTGATCGTTGGAACTAGTCCTGGGTATGACTGCAGTGACACCAGCATTACACCATATGCAAGAATTCCCTACCCGGACATTGGCCAGATGGTGAAGATGGCACCTGGAGGTATGAAGTTGATTGTTGCTTTTGTCAGTACGTAAAACAGAGCAAGAACCCATCACGTTTATGTGTAATACTTTCTTGTAGGTGGGCGAGTTGGAGTTGTCCTGACCTTCTTTGGGTCTGGAAAATCAGCTGGACCCTCCATGCCTTGGGAAAGTCCACACGATTACCCTGCAATTGATGGAGTCACCAAGTATATTCGAGTAACATGTGCTAACTTTGGACTATCATGTGGTAATAAAAGGGATATTTGTATCAGGTCTAATCCATGGATAGGAGATATCATGCATCCAGTAGATGTGTCAGGTAAACTATGATTCAGTAATTCTCACTCTCGTTTGCTTTTACAATTGGTTTAATGATTTTAAATGATGTCACCTATCCCTATAGAAATGTCCAAGGAATCAGTAGACGAGGAGTCTTTGTTACACTTGGTCAAACCAAGTACAAAATGGATCAATCCATCAGACTGTGTAGATATGGACTGTGATGGACGAAGGCAGATAGTTATCAGGGATTTGGATGGCACTTTGACTGGTTCAGGAGCCAAGACAACGATAATACCAAAAGCTGAATATGAATGGGATGGAAATAGAAGATATGGACTTGGTAGGTACTTAGGTCATTGTACTTAAGGTTACATGCAATATTACATTACATACCAAAACAAAAGTATACAAGGTTTCTAACAGTTAGTTATAATACCATAATCTCTCAGGTGACTATCGTATTCCCAAGACTGCTTTGACTGCTGTGGATGGTTCTCGCCTTGACGTCGCATCTACATTTCCACACAAAGGAATCATCAGAGGAACACGAAGCCAGAGCATGTGTTCATGGGTTACTGTTTGGAATGCTTACAAGTGTACAGGTCTTGACCATCTCATGTTAGTCATAGGTAAGGATGATTGCCTAACTGACAGAAATGATAAGATTATGATGTGATTATGTTTTGATTGTCTATTTATCAGAGAGCCTGGATGCTGATACAGAGACCCGTAGGTTATCTCCAGTATCGTTGAGTGCAGATGGATACGTTAATCTTCTTAATGGACCGATGGATCATGGTTGGTGCTTGGGCTACACATGTCAAGAGAGAATATCTACCTTCTATGGGATTGTCGCTGCTAACAAGAACTACAGTTTGTATTTCTCAAGCAACGCGCCTCAGAAACTAAGATTTCGTTTACTGAATAGTGACGACACCCAAGTCATTCGTCTGGCGGTGTACTTTCAAAGGCCTCAACGAAAGGACGTTTATAGAAAAGGTATGATTATCTCATGATGATGTTAATGATCCTCCCCGGATCTCATTAATAATGACAATTTGGTTTGATTTGAAGGAACTTACATGTACCCGACAAACGCAGACCTCGAAAACGGAGAATTCAAGTTAAAGCAAATACCAAATGAAAAACCAAAAGACTATTACGAACCACCGCTGACCAGCATTAGCGGCTCAAACTACTTCAATGATGACGAAAGCACACTGTATGTTGTAGTAAGAGGGTCTCAGCCTGTAGATATTCACACTACACCAGTGATACAGGTAAAGTAGGATTGAGATCTTTATGAATCATGCCTTGTAAGACTCTGAATAAAGGTGTTATTTGTTTGTTTTATAGATTACGATAGGCGCAGAGGCAGTAACGGTCGATGATTTCTTCAAGAAAAATTTCGTCCAAAATCTTGCTGCTCTATTGGGTTGTGATCCTTCGCTTATTCGCTTCATGGAAGTTATCAGTGCATCTGGTTCATCTAGACGCAGAAGAAGAGCTGTTGATGGCAACATGCAGATAGTGGTGGAAATTGGTAACAACCCAGCCCCTACTTTACCAGATACCACCACCACAAATAACACTAATACTACTAGTACACCCACGGCATCCCAGAATTCAACAGGTACAATATCTGAGTACCATAGCGATAAAATCGTGCAACTACTAAATGATTCTAAATGTTAAAATAGGAGTATACAACACGTCATTTGAACAATTAAAGCAAATCGCGGATCAAGTCGTAGAAGTTGTTCAAACTGGGGCTCTTTCACAGACTGTTAATGGCTTAAAAGTTACGGGGTTGAGTGTTCTAGATCCAGTCCCTCCTCCAGTAGACCCGACTGGGGGGGTTCGTGCCACTAATCTGACCGGTAAGTACAGTAAATAGCTCGAACAGTTTGCATGGATCATTCTGTACATATGATATTATTACTAAAATCATTTATGTCTCACTTATGCCAGGTGGCAGTGCTAATGTTACGAATGGAATACTGACGTATGACCAGCTCATGGCGCAAGCTACAACCAACCTCACTCAACCAGTAGTTTTCCTTATTCCCTGTAAACTGGTTCTCGAGCATCAACCTTATGGAGCCAATGAGACCGTACCATTCGAATCTCAACCAAAGCTTAAGATTGTCGACTGCTTTGATCGACTCGTGACGGGACTTGGCCATGGTGCTCTAGCAAACTGGACAGTAACGGCCACGATACGTCCAGGAACTGGCGATACAAATGCCTGGATTAATGGTACAAACACAATCGAGTTTGTCGACGGCTGGGCCAACTTTACAGACTTAAGTATTTCTCACAATGGTTCAGATTACGTATTGGAGTTCAACATCAGCAAGCCACAGACTGCCAAGTTTAACACCTCATCCAACTCTTTTGAAGTAAAAGAAAGGCAGTTATATTTCACAGTAACACATCAGCCGACAGACGCGAATGAAACAGTACCATTTGGCCAACAACCTGGCATAGAAGTCAGAGATGCTGCAAATGGGCAGACAGTCACTAACACGGGGTGGAAGGGAAGGAAATGGCATTTTACTGCTATCAAGGGACAAGGCAACTTACAGGCCAATCTAAATGGAACCACTACAGTCGAATTTGTGAACGGGGTTGCACGTTTTAACAACCTGAGCATCGACACCGCAGGGACTGGGTATACACTGAACTTGACAGTGAAAACTATTCCTGAATCCAAGTACAGTTACTTTATAAAGTCAGAATCATTTGACGTAAAAGAACGTTCCATGCACCTTGTTCTTGCACAACAGCCTGGTAATTGCAACGATACTGTCATTTGTGGTAGCCAGCCAGTCATAGAGATAAGAACAGCGTATCCAGACTCTCTCGTTCAAAATATCGGATGGAAAAACCGGCAGTGGTTTATTGATGTAACGCACATTCAAGGGGTTGCTGGCTCTGCTATGAATGCTACTACACAATTACAAGTTCCGACAGTAGGTCGAGTTGAGATGAACGACTTGTCGTTTTACGACATTTCCTCGAATCACAAACTGAAGTTCACAGTGAGAACAGACCCAGAGTCCTCGTACACCAACATGACTGTATCATCTAATGTGTTTAATGTTGAACCTCGTCAGTTTTACCTAAACATAACCACTCAGCCTAATGACTGTAACCAAACTGTTGCTTGTGGTGTTCAACCAGTGGTAGAAGTATTCGATGTTGGAACACAGAAGCTTGGTATCCCCCTCAAAGGATCATGGTATATCGTTGTTTCCTTAAAATCCTCGCATCTCAATGGATCTCTTGGTGGAACCCTCAACGTGACAGTAAATAATGGAAAAGCAACATTCACCGATCTGTCCGTGTCTTTGTTTGGTGCCGGTTATGTGCTAGATCTTCAGTCTAACTATGGTCACAAGGTAAGAATTACTCGTAATATATTGCTATAGATATCTTAGATTTTCTAATCATATCATATCAACTTTGTATAGATCAGTTCCTCTGCATTCGAAGTGCACTATGTGAATGATTACGCACCAGAGTTCAATCCACCAAGTGGTATATACTTAACTAGTTTATCTGAGAACTCAAGTCTTGGCAACCACGTCACGACAGTATCAGCTACAGACAAAGATTCTGGCCCACAAGGAGACGTGTACTATATGATTATCGGAGGAAACACAGCGAATGCATTTGCAATCAATTTTACAAGCGGTGTCGTGGTGACTAACAATCTTCTCGATCGAGAAACAATAGCAAAATACGACTTAATTATCAAGGCCTATGACGGTGCCGTAGCAGGAAAAGAAAAGTATACGAATGGCAAAGTTATCGTCAATATTACAGATGTAAACGATAACACACCTACCTTTACTAATGTTCCTGATCCAGTCCTTGCCAGAGAAGATCTTAACATCAGTGACGTGATCATTCGTATCCAGGCAACTGATCCAGACGCTGGTACCAACAGCGAGCTACGGTACACGATAATCTCTGGAAATGACCAAGGATTATTTGTTATCGATGAATTTACTGGCGATCTTAAAGTCAACGGGTCTCTAGATCTGGAGCAAAGTCAACTTCCGAACATCAATCACAGCATCGTCATTCACGTTACCGACCTTGGCACGCCAACACCTAAAACCAATACAATACAAGTGAACATCACTATCGCACCCGTCAATGAATTCACCCCACAATTATCCCACGAAAGGTCGTACAACTTTACCTTCGTTGAGAACGTCAGCCCAGGTGTTGGTGGAGTATTGGTGTTTGATATCAATGCCACAGATAACGACTATGGCGAGCATGGATATGTTACTTATTCAATCATGTCCGGTAAGAATCTTGATTGTATTGCTTGATACTTTACAATCAATCATGTAACTAACGATACCGTGTTTGTTTGTTTGTTTATTAGGTAACGAGGGCGGTAAATTCACATTGGATTCTACTAGCGGTATACTACTACTGAATGGTTCCCTCGACTACGAGACGGCACCTTCTTATACTATCGTTATCCATGCGCATGACACCAATACCGCAGGAATAATAAAAACTGCCTCGTTTATCGTTCATGTGACGGTTATTGATGTCAACGATAACACACCAACATTCTCCCAGTCCCAGTACACTATAGAAGTACGAGAAGATTCACCACTTGGCTTCGTAGCAACGACACTGAACGCAGTGGACCCTGATGGAGGTGTGAATGGACTGGTTACTTATTCTATCATCTGGTCCAATACTACCTATGTATGGAGTATAAATGGTTCAACAGGAGCCTTGTCATTGAACGGTATGTATAAGTATATCCTTTAATGTACTTATCCTGTTTTGGTAATACTAATTAATGACATTTTCAATTCCATTGCAGCTTCGCTAGACCTGGACTCCCCCTGCACGCCTGAAATGATCCATACTGTCATAGTCAAAGCAAAAGATGCTGGTGTTCCCTTTACTTTACACTCTAACACAACCCTTACAATACGTATCCTCTATATGAACGAGTACTCGCCAGTGTTTACAACAGCTGTCGTTTCAAAAGCCATCCCCGAAAATGTTGCTGTGGGAACCGTTATCTACCAAGTAAGCGCTGCAGACGCCGATTGTGGGTCAGATGGAGATATCGAGTACAGTATCACAAGTGGTAACAAAGGGAGAGTGTTTACTATCGACAGAACATCCGGCAATCTTAGCACTGATGCAAGCCTTGACCGAGAGACCCTGGGTTCATACACGTTGACAATACAAGCTAAAGATAAAGCTACAATTGGTAGTCGCTCTGCTTCCATGTCTGTTCTGATAAGCTTAAGTGACATTAATGACAACAGACCAGCCTTTTCTCAAGTAAGCTACTTTAAACAGATAAAGGAGAATGCGTCGATTAACACACAAGTTGCAGATGTCAGAGCTACAGATCGCGACATCGGTTCCAATGGCCAATTAGCTTATTCTATAAGCAGCGGTAATGAGCGCGGATTTTTTGTTATTGAGCAAGGAATCATCAAAGTCAGCAAAAACCTCGATATAGAAAGTCAGAATCACAGCGCCGATTTTACGTACAGATTGAATGTGTTCGTAACAGACCAAGGAATGCCAGCATTGAACAACTCCGTGACCGTAACGGTACTAATTAAACAAGTGAACGAATATGCACCTGTAGTCGTGGGGGGTAACGGTAATGTGGAGATTAGTGAGAATTCATCCATCGGGCTGTTTGTCTACGATGTCAATGGTACCGACGCAGATTATGGACCTGATGGACGAATCACGTTCTCCTTTCTCTCTGGTAATGAGCGAGATGAATTCTCTATTAGCAGCTCAACCGGTAAGTCTCTTCACCCTCGATTCTCCAGGTTCGATCCTTTTGTCAGTGTCAATTACTGATAATATAATGAATAATTGCTAATATAATGAATTACTGCTAATATAATATAATAAATAATTGCTAATATAATGAATTATTGCTAACATAATGAATTATTGCTAATATAATGAATTATATTGCTAATATAATATAATGAATAATTGCTAACATAATAAATTACTGCTAATATAATGAATTATTGCTAATATAATGAATTATTGCTAACATAATATAATAAATAATTGCTAATATAATTGCTAATTATAGCTAACATAACTATAGATAAATTACTCCTAATATAATAAATAATTGCTAATATAATGAAGTAATCGAGTTTCCCTTCTATTGCCATGCAGGTGTGATAACGTTGAAAAAACAACTGGATTATGAATCGAAAACAGTACATAACCTTCAGATAGCCTTGACTGACCAAGCATCTAATCCTGCTAATAGACGTATGACAGTAGCTCATTTAACCATCACTGTAATAGATGTAAACGACACAGCACCCTATCAAATTGAGGCGCGAATGATCCAATCTTACATTACATCATCATCTGATATTGCATCCTGGTCTGGGATTCCCACAAAGAGTTTGTTGGAAATATTACTTGTTCACGAGAATGGAACCAGAGAAGATATCACTCAACAAACAGGCCGAGTCGCATTCGACTGGAAAAGTGAATCTAATGACCTGTTTTCCGTAGAAATAATAAACGGAATGCCAACTGTTATTGGCAACAGTGCTGGGAAGACTGGTAGTGGAAACCTACTTTTACAAGTCGTGGATGTCAAAAGATTCAAACTGAAAGTGACTTTAGTTGGATTTGAAGGATTAAAACTCTCCATACTGCCATATCCCGAGATTCCGAGCTCTCCAACGGCCACGATAATAAGACAAATCTTGCCAGGAATCTTTCAGAAAATCATTCTAAAGACGATAATGCACATTACAAACAACGTGCAAAGAGATGTCTCGTTATCTGCTAATACTACATTATCCGTCATCAACTCAGTACAGGTTAATAGTGCGTACACATTTGGACCTACTCCAGTGAATCTATTGACTTTCACCGGTAATGGCTACAATGGACAACTATCATTAAAATCAACGTTCTCAAGCAAAAGCTCCAATGTGGTGAACATTACCGTGTCCAGTCAAGTCATGCGTGTTACCTCTATAGACAAGTTTGGATACCAAAATCTTAATCAAACATTTGATGACTTTCCTAAGACCATCCGGTATCCTTTTGCAGAACTTCGAACAGAAGAAGGTACAACATTCCGAGTCGAAAACTTTACCCAGTACAGTGGTCTCCTTCGATTTACTATTAGCAATACTGATGCTGTTAGTCTAGATACCGCATCCGGGGCTCTGACTTTACGCTCACATGACAACAAACCAATTGTAGTGCAAGCATCATCAACTGTAAACGAAAGTGTAAGAGCCTCGTTTTCGTTTTACAGCAATCCTAAGCCACCGAAAGGTGAGATAGACATTGGTGAAAGTGTAGGACCAGCCATACCGACATTAAATGTGGATCAAACGTGGAAAATGCCTGTGCTGGTGAACCCAGGTAGTAAGGGCTTACTTGCAATCGACGTGCAAATCATGTTTGACGCAGCTGCTGTACAAGTTATCACCATGGAAACCAATCTGTATTACGATATCACTGGTAGCTTTATACGCATATTTTCACTTCTCGACGATCCTCACAGCAGTTACGTCGCTAACATTACGTTCAAAGCCTTGAAGTCAGGAATACCATCAGTCACTATAGAGTCATTTTATTCCGTTGATATGAATTTACACGTTACACCTGCTCGTCAGTCAGCACCCTGCTCCCAGTTAGTTACAGGAGATGTAAACAAAGATTGCCTCTTTGATATTTTAGACGTGGCTTTTATTAAGCGATACTATCTATCGGCGGGAACTGGATTTAACGATGAACTTGGACAAACGATGAAAGGCCTGACGTCATCCCAAAAATCCCTGATGGACGTCGACTGGAGTACAAACATTAATGTGGACGATGCAAAGGTATTGGCAAAAGTAGTTCTAGGTAAAGTAAAGCTGATCAGTGAGATGTCGTTACTGATACCCAACCATAATCGTAATGATACCAGTCCTTGTGAAATGGATATCAAGATAAAACTAGTCGACAAAGATGGTAAGGTTGCGGATGGATCACGCACTGATGTATATGTGGATATTGCCCACACTACCTCCGCGGTACATACTCAAGTACATGATACTCAATTGAATACAGGGATCAAGGCAGCTCTTAAGGACAACCACACGTTTTATGGAGGAATTTACAAAGCTACTTTTGATGCACAGTTGTCTATGTTTAGGATCTCTAGCAAGAACTCAAAATTCTCGGCGAAAAACATTGGTTTATCTGTGGTACAAGTACTTAGAGATAACAGTGGTGCCGTTAACTTCATAACTCCCATGTTTGCCTCTTCCTCGTCAAGCCCATATCCACCTGGTTTGGATATCAAATTAACAAGTGATGTGCGCCTGCACATTGATGGAGTCTATCATCCACAGCGCATGCTTGACTTTAAGGAGACAACTGAACGTTGTCATGATCCGTACGTCACAAGAACGGTTCAGGTCACATTTGACGGGAACTTCAATGAAGTTATTCAAGGAGACAAAAAGTCGTTAATGGATAAGATTGAAAGGGAACTATCGCGTATCCACCCAGAGGCACAGTTCAAACTTTTAAGCCTGGTTGAAGGAAGCATTATAGCCACATTGAACTTAACTGTTACACAATCGAAGGAGGAAAGCACTGTAAAGGCGCTCTATTCGAACGTTGTTAAAGGGATATCTATCAGTCATAATGGCCACACCATTGTTACACTACCTCAGATGAAAGTGGATGGCAATAACTATCGGGTATCAGAACAAGCACCTGCTTCAAGCGGTCTTTCCACTACACACATTGTCATCGTAGTAGTCATTGTCTTGCTCATAGTCTTTGTGTTGACTGGTCTGGTAGTATATAAATTCTGGAGTAAAAAACATCCCAGGAAAACCATTCCCAGTCCACCGACCACACCAGACAACTGCTGGACACATGACGACGGTGGGGAAATTAAAAACGAGTTCCACTTAAAAAAGCGAGGCACCATATACGTGGTAAATGAGGAAAACGAAGGTTATGACGACGAGGACGCACGTCATCAGTTCAAGAAAACGACGACTGATGGCGACGACCAATCGATTGAGTCAGTTGATGCAACAAGTAACGTAAGTTTCTTTTTAGACAGTTACTACATCTACCACTCCTACCTGAAGGCGCACCTCATGTAAAGCTTATTTCATATATATACAAGATGTTCATATTGTTTGTTTTTTTTTAGACTGTAGTGCCCTATGCACCCAACACGCCTCGCGTCCTACGAGCATTTACAAAGAAGCCAATCAGAGAGAAGTCACCGGCAGATTCGTCTTCATCAGTGAAAACCAGCCATTCCAGCCTACCAGATCCACCCGTGATTTTTGTGGAGAAGCAAAAGGACAGCCAAACAAGTAACGCAGCAGAACCAGTACAGACTATGAAGGTAAGACTGACGTAGATGTCGGCAATACAAACAGTATACACCATACAACCACTTACCAATACTTATGACTTGTCGCCCACAGGCCAATGATGAACTTCTAGTAGCACCAGCCTTTGAAATATTGAACGGATCATCTAAAGACCCGTCTATAGGTAGCTGCTCACCACCACCATCTGCTGGCAGTCGTTCTCCATCGCCTTCAGTTGAAATACTCCCAAATCAAATACTGTCTGCAGAGGAGGTTGAAAAAGCCGCCTTTTCGCCTGTACCATCAGATGCTGGGGATGAAACAGGTATATACATCCTCTAGTTGATTACTACTTTACCATCTCTAAAGAAAAACACAAATGTGTGCGTTAACTACTTAGTGATTAAGGATTTTGAATCAACAAATCAATGCATCGTTTTTTTTGGTAGAACGTCAAGTGTTACGCGAAGAACGTCCAGTGAACGTGGTTCGGGCAAATGTGGAATTGGGGAATCTTGCTCACTTTGTTGGAGTGGTGAACACAAACGTCCTAGGTACACTAGAGGAGTTAAGAGTGGATTTGAAGGCCGTACTTCCGTGTCACTTAACCCAAAAGCGATATGTCTTTGTGAGCAGGAAACTTGAACTCATTGAGCCTTGGAGAGAGGCGCACATGATAGTCAAGCGCACATTTATCAAGTCCATCCGAATCAAGGTTTTGTACGGAACCGGTATGTAATAGATAGAATTAGGTCACTTCCGGTTCGATCTTTCTGGCATGCGCAGAAAGCGATAGCGATATGTCTTTGTGAGCAGGAAGCATGCGCGGTAGTACATTAGTACAATGCTGCTCCAGTACACTCCAACATAATCCAGCGTAGCATGAAATAAAGGTTTAAATGTTGCACAAGCGAAGTTTTACGGTCGGTATATTTCTGAATATTACTTACTTTCGACTTGCAGATCGTTGTGAAGACTTCTGCCCTTGTGGCAAAGTGGCCAAAACATGGTGTGACGACTGCAAGGTCCAAGGGTACTGCAGTGAGGCATGCCAGGAAAGTGACAGCATTAATCACGTGACCAACTGTAAAGGAGACAAGACAAAACAGAAGTTAGCCTTGCGTGATGAGCGGTTAACGGCAGGGAAAGTCTGAACATGTACTAAGAGTGTACTAATAATATCACCTTCACCTATTTATCTCCTCTTGATAATACTTACCCATCAGGTCTAACTATATATCTTATTCGCTATTTTTGTATGTCTTCCTTTAGGGTTAGAAAGCGTGAACATGCACCAAGAGTGGTTTCATAATATTACCTTTACCTATTTATCACATTTTGATAACACTAACCTATAAAGGTCTAAGTATATCTATTTCGTTCGCTATTTTTTCTTAACGACGTCTTCCTTAAGGGTTAGAACGAAAGTGTGAGCATGCACCAAGAGTGGTTTCATAATATTACCTTCACCTATTTATCACTTCTTGATAACACTAACCTATTAGGTCTAAGGTCTATATCTATTTCATTCGCTATTTTTTTCTAACGTCTTCCTTTACGGAAAATTGTGTTCTTTAAGAGTTGGTAGTAACCATAACTTCAATGCTATAATATTTGTACGACTTCATGTACTCAAAACTTTGATATCTATTTAGCTATGGTTTTGTGATCGTGGGTACTATATGATTACCAAATCCACCCCGTCATAGAGTCTATTAACTCATATTTCAATAAACAATATGTATCATTCACAGCATCAACAGTGTATTTTTTAATGTTATATTTGTGTTGTCATGGTGATAAGACATCAGTGTAGAGTAAAGAGAATAAGTSAAAAAGATTATCTGTGCAAAGCAAACATAGACTTTTTGGCTTTAGTACAATGACTCATATTATGTCAACAATGAATTTGCCATAAATAATCGATCTCCCCAGGCAATTGCATTCAACCTCTGTCTACAGAAGTCGTAACTGGATCCACAAATCTTATTTGGAAATGCGTCAAACAACGAAGCTGACATTTCCACAATTTTCGATCCAATCAAGCTACCACTTTTTATTTTATTAGAAACTCTAGAAAAACAAACATCATTGAAAAAAGGCGACAAGAGCTAAGTGATCTGTTAAATACAATAGCCCAGCGGTTCGCACACCATGACTAATGATGCGCCGTCCATTGGCCTGTTGTATTTATGGTTAATAGGAGGGGTAAAATTACAAGACTATTATCAGATCATGAAGGCGTGACATATTGACACAAACAAAAGCCATCAGTTGACTAGTACAATATGTACATTTTGACACTAATTATATAACAAAATAGAAGGTCTTGGCAATTTCGGGCCATTCACGCCTAAGCAGATCAATTAATGCGCGAATCACGATCACCTGTTTTGCCGACGCGCTCAGAAATCCCATCTATCGAGCGTTGGTTGCCGACTCACAAAGAATTTCATTAAGCAAATGCAAACAAGTGAATCTCAACTGGCGAAATCCATTGACATCAAGCAAGATGAACTTGTGACATAGCCGCTCGAAACAGAATGCCTAATAGACATGTGTTTACTGTGTATGATCCCTTAGCAGAGCTAAAGAAACATCATGCAAATGTCTTTATTAAACAATATACAATGGCGGAAAGACCAAGATTTCGACGGCAAAGAAGCCAAACAGTTCCCAGTATTGGTAACGTACAAGTGAAAAACAGTTCTAGCACTACGAGCATCAGCCAAGCTAGAATGACACATGTTCCAGTACGACAAACAAGGTCTTTAGATTTTACGATACCAAACAAAACAAGGCCTCGTTCATATGCTACTGGCCAACACACAGTTTCTTTTTCGGGAAATGCAGTGGAAACAAACACCAAAAGATTTCATGGTCCTCGTCACTCGCTCTCTCATTCTAAGGTTTCAACACTAGACTTACCAATTCGCAAAACGAGTAAAGAAGAATCCGCAACAATTGCCACGAGACAAACCAAATCAAAATCAATCCCTTTTGATGATAAGAGCTCTATTTATTCGATCGTCAAGACAAGGTCTTTGGCCCTGAAGTGGTACCGTGGGAATACCAAGACCACATCAACTAAACCAAAACGAAAGAAAAGTGAACCGCTTCCAACAATCAACGATAAAGAAACAATTTCTTTGTGCCAAGCAAAATGCAGTCCACAGTTTGCAGAAGCAATGAATTTACTTCAAAACGATGACAATCCTATCGAGGAAGATATCGAAGGAGAGCTTAGCGTTTTGTGCTTGGGATAAAGCCAGATATATAGAGTTCTATAGATCGCAATAATGTTACATATGTACATGCATTAATATTTATCATCATTACTAGATAGTCTTCAAACTTACTTCTCCTAGTAATACCCCCAGACTAATAAGGGTCTCAGTGTTCAGTGTAGTGTTGCTGGTAGCTAAATATTACTAGTGTTACGTATTACTGGTATTGCCAAACTATCCACAATTAATACACGATTACAACGAAAAATTTCTTGTAAGAAATAGTAACCAATAATAATAATAATATTTATAGAATTTGTACGAGATATCTGTTCAAAAATAATGGTCCTTAGTTAAGACTTGCCTCATCTCAGAGCAGGTCAAGTTACCGACCCCAGGACGGTACATGTAAACCTATTTTTATTATTTGGGAAATGAATATTGATGAATATTGATGTATATGGGGTATATTTCGGGCTTGAAGATTATATTGATGTTAATCTATGTTGGTAAACGTCGTCTACTATTCAGCTTAAAGTCAGGCGTCAAAGTCCGTCAAATCCCTGGCAAATCGGCAATCTTAAATAATCCGTTAATTCTTTCTAGTCGTCTACAATATGACGTTAAGGCTTGTTCAAATGTGATCATTTTCAGGCTGACTTTCTTAGTACCACATCATGTATTTATCATTACTCTGACTAGAAAGGCTCGGCTTATCGATGCCAATTAACAGCAATTAGCGATATCATTTCATGTGATTGGCTTAGCGTGATTGGATGACTTGAAAAGTTTGACTTTACTGGATCATAGCACAAGCAGCGAAGCTCATAGCAGTGACCTTATTCAACCTCGCAAACGTTTAATGTATGTTGGTAGTTCCGCTTGTCAAAATGGAAAAGACAGTGATTGAAAAATAATCGAAGGATGAAAGTCACATGCCAGTATTGCGATACTGTTTTTTCATCCCCTCATCAGAGTATGTCAGGCTAGTGTAAGTGAAGACTTTGGTCATCATTTATAGAGCAACTCGGCTGATCGAGAAAAAGGATTTCAAGTCCTAAAAAGAAGAAACGGTGTAGAGGAGTTGCCAGCTAACAAAAATACAGTACAACAATCGTTCTAGATTGAATCGTACATTTATTTGTACATCTTTGTTTGATGTATATTATTAGACCAAAGAATCCTTTCCTTGTCAGCCCGCTGTTTCTCGCAGGTTCGCATGTTTAATTAGTTCACATGCAGACAAAAGCTTGGAAGATTTTTGCCTTGTTGTAAATTGTACTCTGGTGGTCGTTTTGACGAAAACAATTGATGACATGAGTCAGAATGCAAAAGAATGACTTTGCACATACGATAATTATCGTGTTCTGTTCCTTATGTTTCCCTTGCCACAACATGAACGTCATAGGGTTAATTAGCATATTTATAATATAACAATAAATACGTAAACAGTGTAACCCACAAACTGTGTTCTGATTGGTTCTTCAATACAAAGGTTCCAATTGTTATGCAGATAACCCGATATGCTTCTGGATCCCAGCCAAAAAAGGCGCCTTTTGTATTCCAACGAACTTCATCGTCTCGAAAGCCTCCAGTAAGAGTATACGAGACGAACATAAAACAAGAATTAAACGACTTGCAATATCGACAAAAAATTACAAAATGCTTAAGCTTTGCATCGTCTGTAATTCAAAGGTTAGTCAAGAAAAATACCTCAAGGATGACATTCCTTCTTTGAGGAGAGAAACAGCAGATTTGATTTTAAGATGCCCGTGACTTAGTAGGTCAGTGGCAGTTTTGTTTTGTCAGATACACGGTAGCTCACAGTGAAACCGTGACGTTGTATACTACTAGATCCTTTATTATCGGTCTTTTAATAGGAAACTATCCAAATCAAGGTTAAATAATACTAATTGTACTGCAACCAGCGCCAGTATTACCGTGATATAGTAACTATTATTATTATGGGGGACAGTTATAAAAGATACTGCGTACTGCCGCCTTCAGGGACTCAGAAAATGCAGACAACATAACACCGTACTACGCATTAGGAAGAAAGCACGTAAAATGGGGAAAAGTACTCGTTTTCGATACACATGCAGAAAAACATACATCTTTAGTCACAACGCTTAATTGATATCGCAGGGATTCTAGAATTTTCCACTACACAACTACTGACATCGGTTGCTTGACCGTATGCTAAGTGAGCTAAAGACTGATTCGTTTTCCTAGTAAAACTGAAGACATGGCATTTCTGGTGGGTCTTATTAAGTGAAGACAACATTCATTTCGATAGTGCCAACCAAAAACAAAACAAAAAAAATACTTCGAAGTTGAGTATGTTTTGCAGTCCTTGTTTATTGTACTCAGTGAGCTACGTAGATCAACTACGCGGCATATTTCAAGGGTTTTAACATCACAATTTTATCATATCGACTAAGCATTTTTCCTTCGTTTTCCCTGTCGGTCAACTCAGCTTGTCTGTATAGAATAAACTACTAAATATTGCACAGATACCAGGACCTATCCAGGGTGAATTGGAAGGTAGAAATGAGATATTTATCAGTTGTTCTTCCTCAAAACACATACAGTTTAGCGTTTCCTTCTTTCTACATGCCATTTGCTAAACATCCGCTGTTAGTTTTAAAGGGTAAAAAACATAGTATAACTTAGTAAAAAGTTAACGAAATTAGCGTAAGGCAACCAACGATGTTGGTTATTAGTTAGTATCGAATAACTTGTACTAAAATTTGGACAAAACGCAACCGCTGCTATGCAACTAGCTTTAACGGCGTATGACAAGGTACAACATGACTCATAATCAGTTCTACTTCGTACGTACTGCCAACCGCCAATATGTCGTTCCTTTTTTAAATGGGTGTCGTCACTCTCGTAAACAAAGATTTAAAAATGACAATGCAAATTCAATGTATGCTGCTTATTATGTCTCAGTATATTGATCTATCAGTAACTATAACAAGGGTTTTATTCCGTCATACAGGTCCCCTGTTCTAACAAGATCTGCTCATGTGGTCATGTTTTCTCGCCCCAGTCCAGACGCATTTGTGGTAAGCGGTTTTCAGGTGAGGGTTTAAATCGAGGTTTTACCTGCTTTGTTTTGTTTCAGTGCGAGTAAATCTTTCCCTGGCATTATACGTAATAGATTACTATTAGCGCAGGTGTTAAGATGTCTTTAAGACGAGAATTTACTATATGAGTGACTTTTGCGGATCTATTTATTTCATAAATAAAAGAAAATCCCGTTCAATTATAGCAAGTGTTCATAATTTATAAGAGATTGTACAATTAACCATGTAAGTGTTCCGCCTTAGAGTATCGAGTTGGCATGAGACGTCAGTCACGTGGACTCAGTGAAAGACAACTGAATGCTGTCAAGTTGGAGCCCAGCCCAAAGGTAACTTGCCATACCCATTAAAACTATTCATAAAGTGATATTTTGTAACATTCAGCTATTTTGTTTTCCTTACAGAAAAAGAACCTTTTGTTCCGCACCAGTCCTCTAACCAGTCGGCAGAGAACGCAAACGAAAGCTCAAACTAACTTTAAAAAGAAGAAATCGAAAAGAAATGCTAAAAGTGTTCAAATCATCAAAGAAAACTGTGCAGCCGCCATGAAACTGAAATCTGAACGCGAAAGAACATCTCCGAAGCCTTCGCCACAAAAGACGTTACGATTTTCTCTCGCTTTGGCTGAAATTAACCGAAGACTGTGCGGTCAAACCTTGTTTTGGAGAATGCTACCACAATGATCTGAACTAAAAACTTACCCTCCCTCCCCTCCCTCACTCTCTTGTTTGGTGCTAGATATCCCTTGTACGTAGAAGGCATAAAAGATAAAAAACGAATTTCAGACTTTATCATTTGAGTGAGAATTATAAGAAATACACATGCAAAAATGCAAATACCACCAGTTGAAATCAGGATCAACATTACTTATTAAATATTACTATTAATAGTAAGGAAATAAGTTATTTAGGTATAACACTATATTATACCATTGCATTATTAGTTCTTCAACTTGATTCTGGTATAATGTAAAAGCCAGTGATTCAGCTTGTTAATATTTTTGGCTGGACCAAAAACTATTATTTATAATGATCTGTGTATTTCTAAGTCAAGTTTCATCAATACATGCAAAGCCATGCTTAAAATTTTTTTTATCCTTGAATGCTGACCAAATTCGTAGCATTTTTGAATTTCAAAATTTGGATTTTATAACTTGTATCCCAGAAATCAGATTACTAATATTTGGCAAATATTTCTTGCTATAACACAACATATGAATGCCTAACAAATTGCTCAATAGCTAGGTCAAGCTTTAAAGCCAGATGTAAATGATATCATATGGCTGTACAGAGATCAGTACTGATTTTATCTTCAAGTGTTGAGGTGATATCTTATGAGTGAGTGCAGTGAATGAGTAAGATATTCTCAATCTGTATCTCCAAGCAGCCATGTATTATAATATTCTGATTAATGGATAATTATTGATGAAATACAATTTTAGTAGATTTTCACTACTTAATGGTATTCCTAAGAAATTCTTACTAATGGTGTTTTCTTCACATGTGAAGATATGACTTTTTTGTCAAATCCAACTAGCAGTCTATCATCATTGGTGCATTCTGATTGGATGAGCTACTACTAGGCTATAAGTTATAGTGTACTAATAGCGAAAAGTTCCATATTTGAAAACCAAAACATTAAATTTAACTTCAATTGGGAACATATTTGCATCTACATATTTGACTGACTAGTTGGATTTGACTAAAACAATTATTCCTCTCGCTCTCATGGCCTATGAGTCAATATAGCCCATTTGGCCTTCTGTCTCATGCCCTATATACTCATAGTCCATTCTGCAGGCTCAAAGACTAATTGCTAATTAGTATTTTACACATGTGAATATAATAAATCTGGCGCACTCATTGTTTACAATTTACCTCTTATACTGCTATTAGTGTGCACGGGGACTCTCGTTTGTCGATTTGTGCCGCATGCAGATATGAATATAATTGAGGAAAAAGCAAAACAAAACTCTCTCTTTTATTTATCAAATTCACTTGTGTTAAAAATACTAAAACAATTAGCAATAGACAAAAATAAATATTTCATCAATGATTATATATTTAATAATGTTATAAATCCTGATGATTTTTAGTGAACCAATGACCAGCTGAGACACCTTTGTGTACATAGTATATTCTAACTAAAATGTATAAAGTTTTATGTAGAAATTAGGTGAATCAAATATTTAATGAGAAACAATTAGTGTAGAATAAATAGAAGCATTTTATATTAAAAAAATACAAACAAAATATGTCTGAACCTTATAATCTTGTTTTGAATTCTAAAGAATGTTTAGAGACAGTATTAATAAGTGTGTTAAAACCAATTCAAGCTTACTACAACTGAACAAATAAAATAAAATAATACTGAAAACTTATTCCTGCACAGATTGTATTTTAATGTGTAAGCAGCATTATGTGGTAAATGAATTAGGAAACTATATTATTTACGCCTCGAGGCAAAAAACATGACTTAAAGTATAGATATAACAGTATAAATAATCGTTATATCGAAAGAACAATAGTGTAAGGACTATTTTACTCACCAAGAACAAAGAAAGTCACCTATTTTCCATGGCACATACGTTCGCGTGTGGGCAGAGCGAGAAAGAGAACGCGCTCGCGCCGCTTTTCGCCACAAGCAGCCCGCGAAAGACCCACAATGCATTTCTCAGTCTGGTAAAATAAACACTAATCTTTTCAGCAATTGACCTATTTCACTATGACGTCACATCAAAACAATCTATTGTTTAAACGCAAAGGATCATGGTCGTCGGAGGGGTCAAATCAACACAAATTCACCGAAAATTGTTCTAAAACCCGTATCAATCCACGAAGAGAAGTAGAATAGCCAGCAAACGCTTAGAATATTTTTTAGCACATATTAACACATATTATATCTGAAAACCAGGCCATTTTAGATTAAACTGTTTTGTTAGGAGCAAATTTTGTTGAATTTCCTATTGGATTTGGCGATTCTATCCCCCACATAAACAAGCAGTGGCGTCATAGTGAAATAGGGCAATTGAAAATTAACTACTTAGTTTATATTCTCTTGTTTTCAGTAATTACTTTTTTTTTTTTTCAATGCAACATTATTAAAATATAATTTGACAATTTTTTATAATATATTCTTATAATTTCTCCCAACAGAAATACTGCGTTTATGTCTAATTAATAATCTGTACATAACCCTTATATCTTTGTATATATATATTTCATTTGGATACCTTTCTAAAAAATACTATATATAAGCTTTCACCTCATTTTGGCACGGGAGCAGGCATGAAGGATAAACACTACTTCTTCATATGATTCCTTCGAAAAAACGCGACTTACAGGACTCTTAAACACACTCATATCGCGTGATAAAATATCTTCAGATTTATCTACTGTCACATATTTTTATCTTTTTCTTGATCAAGACAGAAGACCCACTCATCTGAATGTTGGTCGAGTTTTTTTCTACGTGCTCCTTTTTTTATCTTCTTTTCAACTGGAGATATAGGTCGTTCTAATGTACTACTGTTAAGGTTATCTTGCCCTGGTTGCCCACTGATTAGAAGGTAATTGGTATCCGCGTCTGGAGAATTACCATGTTTATCGGCGACGTCAGCATTGGAAATATAATGTGATAAAACCCGTCCATCTTCTTGTTCCTCCTCTTGTTCCTCCTCTTCTTCTTCCTCTTCTTCTTCCTCTTCTTTGTAATAACGATAGACCACCCTTAGATCCAGAATATTGACAGGAAAATGGACGGACTGGCTCCTTGACTAAAGTAATAAAAAAAACAAATGTAAGCATCCAAATGTAAACCAAAACTTAACTCAATGTACAATACTTATTGTATTGTACAATAATGTACTAACCTGAGAGTTTTCCCTTCTTAACGAACTCTTTCGTCGAAGACGTTCTCCAGGTAGCAACACATATCCACTTGCACAATTCTCGACGATCACACTGGGCTCCGACCTTGAATATTTGACTTCAACAATTTCATTTCCTGCCGTAACTGGGTCAATAACCTCCTGTGTACCATCCGCTATTCTTCTCTCGTACTCAGCGAGGCCATCGGAAGGGTCCCCAATATACGTAACTGGAGGAGGGGTCCCGAACAATCCACATTCACCCTCTGACTTACTGAATATTATTTCTTGTTTATCTTGTGGTGCATTTACCACATCCTGTCCCTCTTGACCTGATAAGTTTATTACTGTAATTGGCACTGGATCATCATCACATATTTCTGTTATTTCGATATCATCAGTCTTTTCGTCCTCAATGAATGGGTTGTTGGTTTTACAAGGATCAGATTTAGAAAAATTACCCGAAATGTCTTTAGTACCACTCTGGTTCATTTGTAAGTCAGTCGTTACGTCTGTGGATTCATGTTCTTCAGTACTTTCAAGAGTATTACTGACATTAGCGGGATTTGTTGTGCAAACTTGTTCAGCCAAATCGTTTTGCGGAAGCTCATCAATTCTAGTTTTGGAAAAAGAATAGTTTTCTTCGAAGTCTGTTAGATATGACATCATATCTTCGATAGACGGTCGCTTTGACGCTTCTACCCAACACCATCGCATAGCTTCATACATCTGTTTGGCTAAGATCCCAGGTTCTTTTGGTTCAGGTAACTGATATAGCTGATCTATTATAACACTTTGTATAACTTCTTCATCGGATAATTCTTCGTATGGTTGTCGACCAAACTCTATGATCTCCCATACCGTAACACCGTAAGACCTGTCATGACATAATCACACAACTTAATTCATTGATTGTGAATTTACATAGAAGAAACACAAAGTAACGAGCTTACCAAACGTTACTCGTTGCTGTGGGAGGCTCAACGGTGAGTCCGCTGTCCTTGAGGTAGGACACACTCTCGGGCTCAAGCCATCTTATCGGTACGGAATCGTCAGTGGAATTTGGGTCTCTGTAATAGTCATTCTGAACAAGAAACGAGTAAATATTTCGATCAGAGGCTTTTCTACGCAAGCTATCAGATGTGAAGCTGCTCATGGGAGAAGAACATTTTAGTTGTTTCAAGTTTATTCACTAACATAATACGAAAATGACTCATTGGGAAAAAGTTCATTATAGACATTATAAAATACAATAATTGAAAAGTAAATAATATCAAGTGTCTGCAGTTATTGAAATATTATAAACTTTCAGTCGAGTCCACAACCACGACTGCTAGGTCAGTGGTTCGTCTTATGCACGCGTATGTTCACGTCATTAAGGAAGCAGTCGTCCATGCTCAGATATGTAAATGGCCTGTAAATGTCATTCTGAGCCTCGTCCTATGCACGCAGATATATACGTCAGGTAGACTCTTTTGTGCGCGCGCAAGGATAATTCATTTAGGACGCAGTCTTCTAAGTGCGCGCATGTCATCGTCTTCTATGCGCGCGCATGTATACGCCAAAAAGGACTCCGTCTTTTATGGGCGCGCATGTATATGCTATTAAGGACCCCGTCTTCTATGGGCGCGAATGTATACGCCGTTAAGGACCCCGTCTTCTATGGGCGCGCATGTTACTTTTTGTGTAATGATTTACTTCTTGGCGCACATGCTTACCTCATACAAATTTCGTGAAATCCCATAATCGCCTATTTTGACAGTTAAGTCTGCATCAACAACGCAGTTTCTTGCCGCAAGATCACTATAAAATAGAGACAAAGGATATTTTATATGAATTTTGAGCAAAAAATACGTTTTTAGTGTCCAAACATTAAAACATTTGAATTACCTGTGGTACATACAACTGGAATGAAGGTACTGCAGTCCCGCTGCGATATCAGTCGCCATTCTCAAAGGAACGCCTTTGTTTTTAAGTGATTCACCATCGTGTTTATGAGATATCAAAAAATCTTTTAGATTTCCCTGATTAAAAAGAAACAGAAGCAGTTAGAAACGAATACATAAAATCACAATCAAATAAAAGATGTGTACTTACCATAGGACTGTGCTCAAACACGACAATATAGGGCTCTTGTTCAGTGGCTTTACCAATAATACCCAGCACGTTTTTGTGGTTCAAGGATCTATTATGACGAAGGCAATAAAAAAAACATCACTTAGCTGCTTTTAAGACACAGAACTTTATTCAAATAACTTACTTAAGCATCTCTGTTTCTTGAACAAAACGAGTCCTTAATTGAGAGGTACTGTCATCCTTTAGTTTCTGCAATTATTGCATAAACCGGCAAGTATTAATTAGTCCTTCAAAGTAGCCTTCGCTTGGTAGACATTTTGAATTACGTACCTTAATGATGACTTTGGTCTTCCTCAATCCAGGTATAATCCTTATTGCTTCTCCTTTATAAACCTACAATCAGTTCGTTTATTATTATTTTCATTACATACGACATAATAATAGATGATAATAATAATGYATTACCTTGCCAAACCATCCTATACCGATTTCTGGTCCAAAGACGAGCTTTTCTCTTGGAAACAGGAACTTATATTGTTCCAAGTAATCAACTATACATCAAGAAGAGATAGTTCGACTTGGTCAGTAATGCACATGCCCAATACAAACATGACTAGACAAGGAAAGGATTTCAGAAAAACGAAAATAAATACTTATTAGTCCAAACCAAACGTTCAATGACCAGAGTATAAAGGTAGTTTGATGGATCATTGTCCTTCCCTCCCTCCCTCCCCGCAACACAAAGCAAAAAAAAAAATCTTTTCCTCCAAAACCGCGACATTAATTAGAATAAGAAAGTGTCAAATAACTTACCTTTTTGTCCAGACTGTTTTTCTGTATTTAATGGTTTATATCCTAGAACTTTCACACCACCATCTTGACTATCACGGAGATCTGATTCATTCTCCATTATCGGGTTTGAAAACCCAATTGTATACTGTTCGTCTTTTGGACTCGAGTCGTCATTTGTCATCGAGGAATAAGGATCTTGTATGTAAAACTGACCATAAAATAATAATAGAAAAAAAGAAAAACAGTCCGAATAAATACTGAGTTGAAATATGGAAAACCAATTAATTCATTGTCTTTTGTTGGCGTCATTCGTTTGTACTTCATGAGCGCGAGCTATCAAACTCATCATTTTTAAATGATTATTCTGTAGTCGGCTTAACATTTCAAAATTGAGAATCAAAAATAGACAAAACTACTCAAATCTAATAAAAGGCATAGTTATAGCTCAATCGTTATAGTCCATATTATGCTAAAGTGGGAATGCATGACAGCCCACTTGTTTATTGCCCGTAGAGACAATATGAGACCTTTTCCTCTGCAGCAGTCCTATATATATAAACTCTTACGTTAGTAGAGATAAATGTCTTCCTTAGTTTCAAGGATTGGTTGTCTTAATTCCACGGAAGATCCTTGTCAAAACGTTTGTATTAGGTAGATGTTTGTCTTATAGACACAAATCAAATGACAACCACACGATTCATTACTTTGATAAATAAACACGACTTTCTTTATAAGCGTCGCTATTTAATTTTTGTCATTTGAATACGATAATTTCAAAGCATACGGAGTTAAAACCAAACTCTGAAAACGGCGTATGCCTTGTAAGATCTATTAAAATTAGCAATATTATGAACTAAAATTCCTTTAGCTAGAAAAGGCTTTTTATGTACAAGAAAAATATTTTCTCATAAAGGACTGAACCTGAATAAGAGCCAGTCTTCCTGGCAGACATCTCATATGAACAAGTAACGATGTTCATACGATAGTAAGCAAAACAAAGGTATTGATGTCTGATGCGAACAACATTATATGGGAAAAAGAAGAAAGAAAATAAAGAATACATCACTTACTTAAATGAAAATGACAATTTAAAACATATCATAATGTTTTAACAGATTTTTCCAAAGCAGTACCTTATAACATTGCCATTCATAAGCAGCCTTATTGGTTGCTATCAAAAGAATTCTCATGAAATCGTGTGATTTTTGATAAGTCACCCAGATGCTGTATAACCATGACCTAAAACATATTGCTTTTAGCGGGCTGTACGCATGGTTCATTATATATACACGGAGGGACCAAAAGGCCACCAACCAGAGAAGTTTTTGTACAAATTAGCCAATCGCGATTGAGTATTTCAAAAATAAAATTTGTACAAATTTTCAAATTTTTTAAAGCATATATATTTGCTTCATACGTGAGTGCGTATGATCAAGAGCGAACAAGAAACAGTCTATTTGAAAGGTAAATAACAAACCTTCGTGATCCATAGCGGTCCTGAACGCTTGCGATACTTTCGATACATGAAAGCCAACGCCACAATCACCATGAAAACCATTAATACCACAGCAGTAGCAATTACGTAAACATAACCTTTACTTCCTGGATCTTCACCTTCACCTTTGGCCGGAGATAAGTTAGTTTCGTTGCTGTATGATGCCATGATAGTGGGATTGAAACAACTCTCATGAGAATAAGATCTGTGTAACTGATAGAAATATTTAAACAAAACAATTAGTATGCCGGTTCAAAAGTACTTTGAGATTAAATGGTGACACCGCGTAGTTTGCTTAGGTAGTAGAACTGGACACCCCACCAACACTATACCTTACCACCACTGGACTCCCTACCACCATTATAGCTTACCCCCGCTGGACTCCCTACCACCACTATACCTTACCATCAATGGACTCCCAACCACCGCTATACCTTACCATCACTGGACTCCCTAATGCCACAAAACCTTACCACCACTAGACTCCCTACCACCGCTATACCTTACCATCAATGGACTCCCTACCACCGCTATACCTTACCATCACTGGACTCCCTACCACCGCTATACCTTACCATCACTGGACTCCCTACCACCACAATACCTTACCATCACTGGACTCCCTACCAACACTATACCTTACCACCACTAGACTCCCTACCACCACTATACCTTACCATCACTGGACTCAGTACCACTACTTTACCTTACCATCACTGGACTCCCTAATGCCACAAAACCTTACCACCACTAGACTCCCTACCACCGCTATACCTTACCATCACTGGACTCCCTAATGCCACAAAACCTTACCACCACTAGACTCCCTACCACCGCTATACCTTACCATCACTGGACTCCCTACCAACACTATACCTTACCATTACTGGACTCCTTACCACCTCTATACCTTACCATCACTGGACTCCCTACCACCACAATACCTTACCATCAATGGACTCCCTACCACCAGACTCACTACCACCACTTTAGCTTACCATCACTGGACTCCCTTCCGCCACTATACCTTACCATCACTGGACTCCCTTCCGCCACTATACCTTACCATCAATGGACTCCCTTCCACCACTATACCTTACCATCACTGGACTCCTTACCACCTCTATACCTTACCATCACGCGACTCCCTACCACCAGACTCACTACCACCACTTTACCTTACCATCACTGGACTCCCTACCAGCACTATACCTTACCATCACTGGACTTTTTACCACCACTATACCTTACCATCAATGGACTCCCTACTACCACTATACCTTACCATCACTGGACTCCCTTCCGCCACTATACCTTACCATCACTGGACTCCCTTCCAACACTATACCTTACCACCACTGGACTCCCTACTACCACTATACCTTACCATCATGTGACTCTCTACCACCAGCCTCCCTACCACCACTTTACCTTACCATCACTGGACTCCCTACCACCACTATACCTTACCATCACTGGACTCCTTACTACCACTATACCTTACCATCACGCAACTCCCTAACAGCTGACTCCCTACCACCAGACTTCCTACCACCACTATACCTTACCATTGCAGGACTCCATCTATTAACCATGATGCCACGATACCTTGGCATAACTTGACTACTCCCTTTCACCACTATACGGTATATTGACATAACAGTATCAATGGTATTGATGATAGGAAGAGGAATGAAGCATGTGGGACATAAAAATAATAAATATAATAACATGAACAATATATCCATGACTTTTCAAAAAATGAAAAGTTGGTAAGCATGAATCATATCACATTTTATGTTTATATCTGAGCCTGACCTTCACACACTATAAATGCTCTATCTGGAGCGTTTATTAGCAACAGGCTAGTCGTGAATCTTAAGCCACACACACAAACATTTTACCAGATCTAGATTGAAATGAGATTCAGTATCCAAAAACATCTTTGTTCAACCTTTTGATATCATTTCAGCAATGATATAAGGCTATCGTGTTGCACAGTGCAAAGAAACTTTAGAAACAAAAAACAGAAAATCTTCCTTACCTGGAAAATTAAAGAATAAGAGTTGCTTTGCGCGATACCAGGGGGGAACTATATGGGGATGATCCGCTGAACAGGGTATGGTTTTTCAAGCTTCTTGTCATAAACAGGATATGCAATTTCACTCAAGTTCCAAATTCTTTCTGAGTTTCCTGTCATATTCAGGGATTCTACTTTCGTATTGACCAAAATTGGTTATTATGGTCGTAAAAAAAACGATACGCGAGATGACATGATAATTGAAACAGGAACTCAGTGCAATGAATTATAACTTTTGTTATAAACAGGGTCTAAGAAATTTGAGTTTTTTGTCATAAGCAGGGTACCCAAATTCCGACGGAGTACCCCCCGGGGCGCGATACGACTATCCATGTAAGCAAAAACTAAATATAACATTTGCTGAACTGTTGATTAGTAATATCATACTTCAGTAAAGACTCGTATTCAATACCTTGGTACGTTTACTTCATGAACAACTCTCAAATAAGCGTCACGATTAATAAATGCCTTGATTTCATTCTAAGTGACACAACAACATGTCACACTTTCCTCCGATCGTCTACATGACGATCAAGCCATATACGCTGCATAACAGTTAAGACAAAGGCATCCTTTTCGCTACCAAGTCCGAGGTTTGAAAAAAGCAATCAGCAAGTATAACAAGTGACTAACATTATTGAAATACTTTGCTTTAGCCATGTTAAATTTCTTAAAGATGACGGTTAAAGCAGATCAAATTTCCTCCAAAGGCCAAGCAAAACCAAAGCAATAAGCCCTGAAAAGAGTAGTACTAGTTTGGCTCCCTACCTTAAACGAATTCTTGATTCTTTGCTTTTGTTTTTTTCACTCATAAAGTTAATTCAAATCAGGAAATGGAGCTCATTGTTCCGCGATCTCGCGCACAGAGGCAGCACGTTTTGGCTTGTTTGACGACCAGTATTAAATATCAAATGTCAACAACAGGAAGGAAGAACAATAGTCTTACGTGACTAAATATATTGCGTGATGTGTCACGTGAGCTACATACGTCATATTTACTATCCCAAAAATATAACATGTGAATAAATAAGAAAGAAAATCAAATGACATAAAAAATCAAAGTGATCCTTCGTAGAATATAAGCGAAACTAAAAAAGTAAATAATAACTGCCTTTCTTCTTTACTTTTCAGGGGCATTTTTTCCTAGATTACGAAACTTAAACCGATATCGGCTGATCATTTATCATGACAGCTGGTGTTACGCTCTCTCAACTTGATTAATGATTTACCTGACGATTTATAGCACACGTGCTGATATATATTTAGATAGGAGCGATTGTATTTCAGTTGTTGTG